CAGCACTTCGGCAAACCTGACTGTGGCGAGGGGGCGTGAGTCTGTAGCGGCCGCGGGAGAGAAAGGACGGAGCCGCACGGTGAGATTAGTAGATCAAGTGCAGATAATGAACACCTGAGTTTGATTGCAGTAATTTTCCGCGGAGAGACCGTATATAACCGGCGAATGAGAGAGCGAGAGAGAGAGTTGGACTTCACGCGGCTACTTCAACCGAGACTGAGAAGCAAGTGTTGGATCGCGTGTTTGTTTATGGTGGCGAATGCGTTACTGTGCGCCTCGTTTCTTTTTTGTTTTTTCTGAATAAACGAGTCCCAGTCACGCCGACCCTGTCTTCTTTCCACATACTGAACCTCTTCACACTGACCTATTCTGATAGGCTACCGCACATCTCTACCACGTATCTAACAGTAACGTAATTCCGCATTAATTAATTTGCACGCGAGTTTTATTTATTTTAACCCTGTATTCTCCGTGTAAATTCATGCACCGAACCGTGACGGCCGTACGTTTCGGTTCAATACGAATACATGTACCGTTCCACCTCTAAGTTATGCCTATAGCCTACTTACCAAGACACCTGACCAACTCTCCACTGGTTCTCTTCACACCAGATATTTATGTTTCTTCGATAGGAATTATTTAAATTTCTGTTTGGTTCCTCATCTGTCTCACGCCTGGGAGGCTCAAAATTGTAAGGTTGTGGCCCATCGGAGGTTTAAGGGGGATTTTGGATCTCCTCAGACTCAAAACTCTCCATACTTGAATAGAACGTTTTTGTCACATCTCCCTCTTATGACATCACAGGCAGCTCCACTGTGTTTTAAAAATATGATCTTGACAGAAATGGCTATAAAGCTTAATGTAGGGCAATTACAGTAATAATTTTAATGATAATTACATTTTCACTCATACATCTAAACATTATTTAATATATCTAAAAAAAATTTTTAACCTGACATACACACTTTAAATTATATGCATGGCACACTTTTAGTTATGGCTTGTTAAACAATATTTATCACGAAATGGAGTTTTTAAAAGTAAAAGGGTCTGAGAGATACTTATTTATTTCTATACGTCGGTGTGTGAATGAGTGTATGAATGGGTGAATGTGAGGCAAATGTAAAGCGCTTTGGTGGCCATTAGGTCTATGAAGGCGCTATATAAATGCAGTCCATTTACCATTTACCATTTATTTAGTAACACAATACTTATCTCTTATCTCTTAAATAATTTTGAACAGCTCTCATATTAAACACTATCCAAACTGTTATAGGCCTAAAATAGCTTTTGTAGCCCTATGTCACTCTTAAAATGTTAGAATGTTAAAAAATAGAAAATTGTACTTTGCATATAGGCTACTGTAAAAAGACAAAGTTGATCATTATGTAAATTATTTTCATTTCATGAATATAGTGACCAACATGATCACATACACAAAAAGCCTAATACACAATCAATTCACCAAGTTAATAACATTAAAGATTTGTTTTAAAGGAGTGTCTTTTATCTTACCTACTAAACTTAAAAAAGGTTAACACAAAAAGAGATTTTATAAAAATATATACCTCATATTTCAGCATTCAATTATCTCTATAAAAAGAATGAGTCAATAAAGATACATTCCTGACATTTATAATGCACAGTAGCTTTTATTATTAATAGTTTATGGAGAAGAGAAAAAACACCCAAGTGTTTGGGTGCACGAGCACTCCCATACTGAAAAGTTTATGAGCGCGCCTCCCGCGAGCGCATAATGAGCGCGCTTACCGTGCGCCTAATCGCCTATTTGAAATAACGACCTCGAGCGCGCAAAAGACGCGATACGTGAACTAATCAAGAGACCCCCTTGACATCGCTTCTGTGCACGGCACCTTCTCAGCAATTAGGGGCGCCATTGCCAATAATTGAATCGAAATGGTAAAAAAATAGAAAACCTTCGAGGCACAGAGGATTTTTTTAACTGCTCGTGCCGCCCCCCATGTGACATGAAGAAATGCCGCCCCGGGCGACTGCCCGGTTCGCCCGTGCCTAGAACCGCTACTGCTCGTGCTGCTTCTCTCCCTCCGCATTGTCCCTATGACTGTGCAATAGATTTACTGCCAGGTAAGTCTCCGCCTAAGGGCAAGTTATATTCACATTCGATTCCTGAAAGAGAGGCTATGGAGAAATATAGTTCTGGTTCTCTAGCAGCCAAGTTCATTCGCCCTTCCTCTTCTCCAGCGGGGGCAGGTTTTTTCTGTGGGGAAGAAGGATGGTTCGCTGCCTTGCATTGATTACAGAGGGTTGAATAACATCACGGTAAAGAATACTCATCCTTTGCCGTTGATGTCTTCAGCTTTCGAGAGGTTGCGTGGAGCATCCATCTTCACAAAATTGGACTTACGTAACGCTTATCATTTGGTCCGCATTAGGGTGGGAGATTAGTGGAAAACTGCTTTTAATACCCCCAGGGGGCACTTTGAATACTTGGTCATGCCTTTCGGGCTGTCCAACTCCCCAGCAGTTTTTCAGGCACTGGTCAATGACGTGTTGCGAGATATGATCAATCGGTTCATATATGTCTACCTGGATGACATGTATGTCTACCTGGATGGTCTAAGATGTTTTTGGGGTCCTTGAGATGTTTTGACATGATTTGACATTTGTGCTTTTTTCAGTTGCTTATAAACATTAATGGCACAGGTGATATTACACTATATTTAGCACAAACAGGGCTACCATAATGTGTGAGCAACATGTATGTACATTTGTATTTTTGAGAGAATATTGTTTATGTGTGGTCATTGAAAAAACTAAAAATGAAAGTTTCTGAGGCCACAAAACGTCTCTGGTTACTTACGTAACCCATGTTCTCTGAATAGGGAACGAGACGCTGCGGATAGCGCAGTGGGATATTCTCTGAATATGCCGATTGTCTGAAGCCCAATAGAATCACGCCAATTCATTGGTTGATGGCGCTCGCGCAATCTGGCCCCGCCCCGACGCAATTACGCCGCACAATCATATACGCGCGTGCGCCATCCTCCCCTCAGATCTCTCTGCCGAAAAGAAGACTGTCAGCAGCGTGAGGAGCTTGGCCGCTAACGCAGCGTCTCGTTCCCTATTCAGAGAACATAGGTTACGTAAGTAACCAGAGACGTTCTCTTTCATAGGTTCACTCAACGCTGCGGATAGCGCAGTGGGAACGGGATACCAAACTCGCCAAGCAAAGAGCGCTGTAATGACTGGTATCGAAAGATAATGACTACAAACGGTTCAAACAGAAAGTATCTGAGTGTCAAGATCCAAATTGTAGAAACGTACAAAAGTGTGCGGAGAGGACCATCCGGCCGCAACACAAATGTCCTCTAAGAGAGCTCCCCTGAAAAGAGCTTGAGAGGATGCCACACTCCTGGTGGAATGAGCTCTAATGCCAAGAGGCGAAGGCAAACCACGCGCCTGGTAGGCAATCGATATCGCCTCTGTGACCCAATGAGAAATCCTCTGTTTCGATGCAGCAAGCCCACGGCGGCCAGCACCAAAACAAACCAGAAGCTGGTTAGATTTCCTCCAACAGCTGGAGCGGTCTACATAAAACTTCAAAGACCGAACTGGGCAGAGCAGATTAAGCTTCCTATCCTCCTCAGAGGAAAAAGGCGGAGGGTAGAAAGCGTTAAGGCTAACAACCTGAGAGCGGAACGCTGTGGAGAGAACCTTAGGAACATAGCCTGGCCTAGGTCTCAAGGAAACTTTGACTAACCCGGGAGCAAAGTCTAAGCATGACTCGCTAACAGAAAAAGCCTGCAAGTCCCCTACCCGCTTTAAAGAAGACAAAGCCAACAAAAGTGACACCTTAAGAGTCAGAATCCGATCTGGAGCTGACTCTAAGGGTTCAAAGGGGGCCTCCTTTAAAACCCTCCAAGACGACAGAAAGATCCCAAGAGGGAACTCTAGGGGAGCGAACTGGTTTCAGGCGCCTAACCCCACGCATGAAGGCCGAAACTAACCTCAGTTTACCCAAAGGAATAGACCCTGAGGGTGGTAGCCGCCGCCCCGGAGGAAAACCTCTCTTGCAGGAACTCCAACACTGAAGCGACAGGGCAGTTAACTGGGTTCCTATCACGTGCCAAGCACCAAGACGCGAAAACCTTCCATTTGGAAGAATACAGACTCCTTGTAGAAAGAGCTCTAGCACTAGCGATGGTCTCCTGAACGTCAGTCGGGAGATCCAAGCCTAATGGGCGGGAAGGCGTAGAGTTTCTGCATTGGCCAAGGGTGGGCGAATGCATCTATCCCCAACGGAGCTGGAGGATTCAGGGAGAACCAGTTACATGGGAAACTACCGCCATGTTGTCCGTCCTGACAATGACATGGTGATCCTTTAGAAAAGGGAGGAAATGACGCAAAGCCAGGAAGACGGCTCTCAGTTCTAAGCAGTTTATGTGCCAAGCGAGGGTCTCGCCCGTCCAGACCCCACATGCTGGCCTGCCCTCGAAAACTGCTCCCCAACCGGTTAGAGAGGCATCCGTCGTAAGCATCTGGCGACGGAATACCGTTCCCATGCTGACCCCTTTCTGAAGAAAGAGATGGTCCCGCCAAATCGACAGGGCGCGAGAGCAACTGCCCGACACCCTCAACAGGCGAAAGGCTGACCCAGTGGGCCGGATGCCTGAGAGCTTCATCCACCACAAGAAGGGTCTCATGTGGAGCAGACCCAGGGGTAGCACAGGGGAGGCTGCGGCCATTAAGCCCAGAAGCCTGCGGCAAGTGCCCACAGAGACATGATGGCCAAGCGAAAAACGGGCCAAACATGTCATCAAACTACAAATTCCGTGCAGGAGCCTGTAACGGTGGTCGCCGCCTTATCTCAAATAACTCTCTTAAAGAAAAATTCGGGCGCCAGACAAGGTAAAACCTGTCAAAATTTACATTAACCCAGGATAGCCAGAATGTAACCACCTGTTACACAATAAATGTATATATATATATAAAAAAAAGAAAGAAAAAAAATCATTTTACAAAGAATATTTATTCACAACAAATACTAATAACAAAATAGATTCTCAGAAGTTCCTGAGTCCAAGTTCCACAAACAGATTTAAATCCGTGCAGACCATAGACGGCGCAGACAACCTCGCGCGTCACTAATCCACGTTGGCAGATTCGTGTCCACATTCATTCACAAATTGTTCATAAAAAAAAAAGGAAAAGAGAAAAAGAAAGTAAACAACTCATTCATTTCGTTGTAAATCAACAACATCAAACAATAATTTTAACAGGCAACAACAATTTATGAGAAAAAAACAAAAACAAAACTAAGCACACTGAATGTGCAAATGTGAAATGCGAGTGGGTGCGTGCGTGTGTGAATGGCGGCGTAAAGGTACTGACCACATTTGCAGGCAAGAAACAGTTTGGTGAGTATCGAGTGTCCTCTTCAACACTAGGATCAGCGGATAAAACAGCTCTGGCTTGTCGTTAAAACAGCTCAATGTTCGTTTGTCTGAGACTGCAACGACTTTCGCGCTGCACCAGACTTCAACCACAGGAAGCAACAGATCGACAAGCAGCCGTCTCTCCCCAACAATCCATCACGATTTCACTGCAAACTTCTCAATGCACAAACGGGTGACGCGCATTTTCCCAGGTACTACACACACCCTTATATTCAATTTCCTTCCTTGATTAGCGGTGATTGAGTGATTAACATACTCCACCCCTTTTGCGCAAACGTGAAAGTAATCAAAAAAAATAGTGACTCGTGGCACGTGGCTCTTCATTGCCACAAGCCAAACGGGCCTGCATACGAACGGAATCCATGTGCACACCCAGGAAGACTGTGTGCTGAGCTGGAGTAAGAACACTCTTCTCCACGTTCAACCTCAGGCCGAGAGACTGAATATGGCGGAGAACAGTGTCCCTGTGGTGGGTAACCAACTCCCTGGACTGGGCTAGAATGAGCCATGAGCGGGGGACGCGCTGGGTCACTCCTCCTGAAAGAGGACTCCGCTCCCTGAGAAAAACGTTCTCTAGGTCTTCGGGCAGGGGAGGGAGCGGGGGATTCCCTAACTCTCCTGGGCATGAACTGCTTAAAAGCGGCGGATTGAGACTTGGAGGAACGGAATTCTCGACCACTGTATTGACCGCCTCCCCAAACAGACCTGACTGAGAGATAAGGTCGTCGAGGAGGAAAACCTTATCTCTATCGTGAAATTTCAGTGAGGTTGAGCCATAAGTGGCGTTCCAAAGCAACCGCGCCAGCCATAGAGCGGCCCACCGCACGTGCGGTATGTTTGGTGGCCCTTAGGGCCAAATCCGTGGCCTTACGCAGCTCCTTCACAGCCTCAGGAGTGACACCACTACCCTCATCTATCTCTTTAAGGATATCGGCCTGGTAGGCGTGAAGGATGGCCATAGTGTGAAGGGTCATGCCTGCCTAACCAGCCGCTATGTAGGATTTCCCGATGAGAGAGGAAGAGGTTCTACATGCCTTCGATGGAAGGAGAGGGTTTTTTTTTTTTTTTTTTTTTTTTTTTTACGTGCCCTCCAAGATGGCGCTGACGATGGAGCAAGATGGCTGGCCAAAGTATCCTCGATCGCCGGAATGGCAGAGTAGCCCTGTTCCACGGAACCCACGAGGTTGGTGAAATCAGCAGCTGACGCATTAGTGAGACGCGAAGAGAAAGGCTGCTTCCAGGATCTGGAAATCTCCCGATGCAGATCGTTGAAAAACGTCAATTTTCTCCGTTGGGGCCTAGAATTAGGGCCACTGAAAAACCTCTCGTCGAGTTTGGAGGCTTTTTTTTTTTTTTTTTTTTTTTACTGCGATTCGCGGGGCTCGTCAGGCCAGTCGATCGAGAGTTTCTCCGTGGCGCGCGAAAGCACATCCACGAGCTCAGAGTAGGCCGCGGTAGGCCGCGTTTCCTGGCCGCTAGGCGGGATAACGTCATCGACGAGAGCAGGCCCGAAATCCTCGGAGTCGGAAGCCGGGGTAAAGATGACGTCCTCCAGCCCGAAAGAAACAGAATCGCGTGCTCCCGGGCTGGGGCACAAATAATCATGAGCGAACTCAACTGGCGAGTGAGCGAGCTCGGGAGATGGAGGGAGAGAAAGAGCGGGGCCCGTCTGCTCAAACTCCACATCCTCGAGCTCAACATCCGAACCCCAGGCCGCGGATCCTCGAGAAACCTAGGGAGCGCGACGGGGGGAAACGAATTTAGAATCCTTCTCAAAAACCGCAAGCCGAGAGCTGAGAGTTTTTTAGAAGTAAATTATCGCAAAATTTACATTTAGAAAAACCCAAAACGGCCTCGCGCGCATGTGAGAAACCCAAACACCTGATGCACTTACTGTGAGGGTCGTCGCTTGCGATGAAGCGAGCACATGGCGGAGAGCAACGTCGATACTCCATTGCAGCTTCACTGGAAGGAGAACAGAGTTCCACTTGTGCAGTCGCTGAAGTGCAAGAATCCGAATAATCCGTTATATAGGCTTTAGAAAAACCGAGACGAAGGACGATGTGATCGCTTCGTGAAGGCAGAGAAATCTGAGGGGAGGATGGCGCACGCGTGTATATGATTGTGCGGCGTAATTGCGTCGAGGCGGGGCCAGATTGCGCGAGCGCCATCAGCCAATGAATTGGCGTGATTCTATTGGGCTTCAGACAATCGGCATATTCAGAGAATATCCCACTGCGCTATCCGCAGCGTTGAGTGAACCTATGAAAGAGAACACATACGAAATATCTGCCAAAACGCGTCGCCGCTTAAGCCAACCTCTAGGGGTTGATGATAATCCGCAGTGCAATTGCAGTCCAGACAGGTTCTACAAAATCCGCCCCCTTTTTGACATGCTTCGTCAGCAGTGTCTTCTGATCCCATCCACTTACCAGCACAGTGTGGATGAGGTCATGGTGGCGTATAAAACACAAGGGCTGGCTCTCTCCACCAGTATATTGCCAACAAGCCTGAAAAGTGCCGGGCAAGCTCATCTGGCATCATTCATGACTTTCTGCTCTATCGGGGGGTGTCCACATTCTTCAATGTTGCCCTAACTGAACAGGAGGCACTGCTTCCTAGGGCCAAACTTGTGACAACACTCAGCAAAACCATCACATTGTCAAGAATTTCAGTCGTCTTCTGTGACAACTTCTTCACCAGTTTCGACTTGGTCCAGAACCTGCAAGAGAATCTGGGCATCAGGTGCATTGGCACTGTCCGACCAAACCGCATGGGTGGAGCAACCTTAACCCACTGGGGACCAAAAACGCATCCCTGCATTTTGATAGTTTTTTTTCACATAGCTGCAACATAGACTTAAAATACTTTGTCATTAAAGGTCATATAAATAAAATCAATACGTGATTATAAACTATAGAGGGTCTTCTTTTTTGTGTACACTCTTATTAATATTAAAACCTTGTATTTTTGTAAAATAAATAAATTAAACAGGGTGCGCTTTCAGCTCACTCCGTCTCTGCAAAAATCTTTCTGAAACGTGTTTGAAAAATCAACTTATTAAATACTTGTCACAGAAGCTACATTTCCATTACCCTTCAATTTGCGCAAATTGAAATTGCAAAATGAAAATACGCTCAATGGAAACACGTCAATTTCGCGAAAACTCCCGTTTATCGCAAAAAAGTTTTTACGCTCGCATGAGGAGGTTTTTTTAGGCAATTCGAAAAAGGATTTTTTTCGCAAAACTGCAATGGAAACGGATTTTGCGCATTTACAGTCACCTGACTTAGAAGACTGAATGTGTTTTAGGTCCGTGTCTGCAAATATTAATAATAATTATCATCATTAGCCTATTATTACATTTATTAGGCTACATATGTAGAAGACGCTTTTATCCAAAAAAGAACAAAGAAATTCGTCACATCTCATTCATAGTACAGGTTGGACAATAATAATAATAGGGCTAAGATTATAACAAATAAACACTCAATTTTGTCCAATATCCAAGAGTGTGTGCGGAGTTTGGAGCACGCACTGGATGGCAGACTGGCGCGGGTGCGCCGTGAACACTTTCATTTTCCCATCAACAGTGGAATCAACTTAAAATACTCTATCATTTCTGGTTATACAGAAAATAATAATACATTATTCGCAACTACTTTTATTTGCGTAATGTCACAATAACAAGAAAACGTTGTGCTTTCGTAAAATAGCCTAACATAAAACAATCAGGCGCGCTTTATGATCTTCATGAACTGGAGCGCGAGAACTGAACCAATAGCCTTTATAGACTAAAGCTTTAAATGTCCACTTTAAAAAGAACAAATTTAAATCGTAAGCTAATACCTTCTGATTATGTAATCGGTATGAACAACATGACATCATGACTTTTGCGTAAACATATACGCCACTTTCGAGTCAGGTGGCGTGTTATCTCCACACATTTTAAGCTATCCGTGTGTATGCGTATGTCTACGCCATTAACATCCGCGTCATTCCGCGTGTCTGTACACGCAGTCAAATCTCCAGTCATAAATGTGAAGTTTTGTACCAGCACACGCACACACACACACACACACACACACACACACACACACACACACACACACACACACACACACACACTGTTTGGAGCCATCCAGCCATAGGGTCTAATTAAAAAAAAATGTTGATTGTTATTGTTATCATAAGTGAATAAAAATGCAAAGAAATAATTTTTCCTTAGCTTTTTTGATGTTGCATACCTTAAAGGGTAAATAAACTCCAACCTTTTTTTTTTTTTTTTCAGGATAACCCCCAACAGATTGGTGGTGTAGACTGTGGAGTCTTCATGTTGATGGTGAGACATTGTTTTGATATAATTAAAACAATGACTGGTGTGTTGGTGTTTTTATTTTTTATGCTGTTAAATACAGAAAAGGGAAGAATTTTTTAAATTTGACGTTTACAGGGATGATGTTCCTTAATTTGATCTGTTTTCCAGTATGCTCTACATCTTGTCTTGGGAGCACCCTTTGATTTTACAACTGTAAGTAATTACCAGTTCAAGTAATTGACCTTTATGATGTTGTAGCAGTTGAAATATCAAGATTTCTAAAAAAAAAAATTTCTTCCAGTGCGACTTTCCAAACGAAGTTGGTGGGCTCTTATTCTTCTGGAGAACTTTGGGATTTTCTCTGAAAGGTAGATACTGGACATTTACTCCAGACCACCGTTACATTTGCACTCTCTTCTGATCAATTTTAAATGAACCAATTGCTCGCTTTCAGGTTGAGCTTTCCGCGACTGCGCAAATGGGGTATAGATTGCCAGGTTGAGATGACAGGGTTGAGATAACGGGTTGAAATTGTATATGGTGTTTGGGATTGTGTGAATATAATGCATTTAATACAAGATCTGGCAACTGGTCAACATTAGACAAAGGTATTGGTTCGATTATTCATAAAGGAGTTTGGGCCATGCAAATTACGGGAGTTTCCCGGGAGAACTAACAAATCGGGAGGGGTCCGGGAGATAGGGCTTAAAAATGACAGAAACCCGGGAACGGGAGTGTTGACAGGTATGATGGGCATCTCACGCACCGAAGCCAATGGCACGTCACTATGCGTATTGGCACATAAAATACGGACAAAAACCGATGTAGTGTATGGGAGGTGCTTTGCGTGTGTGCTGTTTTCAGAAAATGGGCAAATGGTAGGGCTTGTTTGTTTTTACTGTATATTTTTTGGTGAATACACTTACACCATGTGTTCACAGGCCATTGTATCCC